CGATTTGTGAAGCGCCGAGGTGTACCAATGGAAGTGGTTTCGGACAACGGGACGAATTTCGTGGCTGCGGAGAGGCTAATGAGGGAGGCGGTTGTTGCCCTGGACAACAGCAAGATTGAATCGAATCTGGCTGATCGCGGAGCGACTTGGCGCTTCAACCCGCCAGCATCTCCGCATTTCGGTGGTGTGTTCGAAGCGATTGTCAAGTCGGTGAAGAGAGCCCTGCAGAACGTGTTGCAACGTGCCGACATTACCGATGAGGAACTCATGACAGCGCTAGTTCACGCCGAAGCATTCCTCAACTCCCGACCCTTGTCCACGGTGTCATCAGATCCCACCGACTTACGGCCATTGACTCCTTTGAGCTTCCTTATCGGCCACATGGATGTGAGGACAGCTATGGAAGAGAATGCCGATCGTCAGGAGGTGGTCAACCCGCGGCGTCGCTGGCTTTACGTTCAACGGCTGGTATTGGAAGTGTGGCGAAGATGGTTGAAGGAGCTCGTGCCGCGGCTGAATGTACGCGCGAAGTGGCGTGGCGACAAGCGCAAGGTGGAAGTTGGCGACGTGCTGCTCGTTGTGAAGAAAGATACGCCTAGAGGAAAGTGGCCTCTTGGCCGCGTGAGTGAAGTCTTCCCGGGTCCGGACGGCGTAGTGCGAGTCGTGGATGTCGTGATCCAGGGGAAGACTTACAGACGCGCGGTGCACAACCTCATACCACTGGAAGTTACAGATGATGAGCAAGCAGTTACACCGGCCAGTGTACCCGCCACCAGCTCTAAAGGTGTCGATGAAGTGTCTGCCGTAGTATGACATCACACTGAAAAGAGCGTGATAATGAGCATGACGAACTCTGATGTGAGTTTCCTTATGGCACTAGTGTTTAGGAATGCAGATTAGTTTGTTGTCTTTCATATGATAATTAGCTACTAGTCTCTAGCGTATATCTGTGTGAATTCTCTCTCAGTTGACTTCGTTCGAGAGGGAGGAAATGTTCGATTTAGTGTGTTCGAATTTGTGCATCATGTTTCTGTCTTGTATTAGTGCAGTAGTGCATTTGTAGTTTACTTATTTGTTGCATTGTGCTACAGCGTTTTGCTCTCTTTGTTGCTATTTTGTGCACTGTCTCAGTGGCTGGTTCTTTGTATCATAAGCATGAGTGCGCGTCTGCCGCTAGGCTAGTTGTCTGTTTCATGAATGCACTTGCGGTCGTTGTTGGCTGATCACTACACCATTGTCTCACATGTATCATCGTTCTAGCTGCGTGCTCCCGTACCTGTGCGTACGGTGTTCTTTTGGTTCTATATTCGTGATTTGCATTTTTGTTTTGGGTCAGATGTGTTTACGATGTTTTTCAGATGAGTTTGGAAACGGTTGTGTTGAACTCTAAGCTGGTGTTTTTTTGAGCTAGTGCTTGTTGTCCGAAGATGGAATATTGAATACAGTCTGATTGGAGAAGTCATTGATTTGTTCAGTAACAGCCCAAGAGGTCTCAAAGTTACTGTCTAACCTGGATCCGTCAAGAGCCCGGGCTGTGATGGCATACCAACCCGCCTACTGAAAGAGGCAGCCAGTTCACCTGCGCCGTCCCTAGTAACCCTTTTTAACATCTCCTTCGATCGTTGCACTATTCCGCAAGAGTGGAGGGACGCAACAGTCACCCCCATCCACAAGAATGGCAGCAAAACCGAGCCCTCCAACTATCGACCGATATCGCTACTCAGCGTGACGTCGAAAGTACACGAGAGGATAGTTGCTGACCGCATCTCGAAGCACATCCAACCTCACTTCCCCAACGGCCAATCAGGCTTTCGGCCAAACGATGGCACCACACAGCAGCTATCTCGGTTAATCCATCAGATCACCGAGAAAAGAGGCGCCGGGCAAACAGTAATTGCTTGCTTCTTCGACCTATCTAAGGTGTTTGACCGGGTGTGGCACCAAGGACTGCTTGCAAAATTGGCCCACCTCGGACTCGATGGCAAATGCCTCCAGTGGCTTGCCTCTTATCTCACCAACAGACGACAACGTGTGCAAGTGGAGAGCAGCAAATCAACCTGGCTGAACATTCCAGCGGGGGTCCCCCAAGGCTCTGTCTTGGGGCCGCTTTTGTTCACGGCCTACACAGTCGATCTGCCAGCCGCCTGCATAAATGCCAACACTGAGTGCAGCCAGTTTGCCGACGACACTGCCATCATTACCGCTCATGAGAAATTTCTAGCGGCAGAAGAGCACCTCCAGTCAGCTGTGACAACCGCGGCACAGTGGCTGAAGGATTGGCATCTCCTGGTCAACGAAAGTAAGACCACTGTCATCCACTT